ATGATCATGAAGAAAACAAAAAAGCTTTGTTCTGGATGGAGAAACCCTCTATCTTACTATAGAGAAAAAGCAAATGTTGCCAAAGAGGAACGTCAAAAGTTTTTAAAAAATTAAAGTTTCCATTCGGAAGAATGACAGAACATTTTTCTGTCAACTGTGCATAGCAAATTGGTCTTTGTTTATTCAGAAGTGACCGCCTTACCTGTGCCATAAACATCACCAGCTCAGCCAGTTCTTTGCTGGGTTTATTTGGTTGTAATTTGAAAATCTCCACATTGGATTTGTAGTGATTATACTGCTGTAGAAACTGTGGGGAAAAGAAAATTTAAGTGTGTCACCTTCTAGTATAGGATTTTCTCAGTGCAGGATGACAAATTCTTTGACAGTGGCATGGAAAATAAGATATGGTGGAAGAATACAGAAGTACTAACTGCTCCTTTTGATGGTCTTCAAAACAAGCTTCGAAAACCAAAGCACCCCAAAGATAATCTAGACTCTTTAGAATTATCATCAGGCATGTAACTGGTATGATGTGAAGCAAAAGTGCCATTTACATGTTCACAAAGTTGTGCAACTATCACCAACAATTCTAGAACATTTTATCACCCCCTCCTACTAACACCTCCCTGTCCTCCCAGCCCGGGCAACCCACGAATCTACTTTTCTGTCTCTTTGGATTTGCCCATCCTGGAATCACGCCCCAGTCGTTCTTATCTAAATTGCTCATATTCGGGTAACTGCCTCATCACAGTGCTAAATGTAATGGCCAGGTTTTCAGTGCTTATTTTATATGGCTCTTCAGCATCTGACATCATTGGTCTCGACTACCCCTAGGAACATCAGACTTGACTTCCGGGACACCATCTGGCTTTCCTACTTCACTTCAGGCTTGCTGATTCCCTTTGGCTGGTTACTTAGTAGTTCATTAAAGTCTAAAGGCTGAGCTTCCCCAGGGCTTTTTTCTCTATCTACCATATGCAAGAACTGAATACATTTCTCACCACTTCTACCATTCTAGTTCAAGCTACCATCATCTCGAGTAACTCCAACAGCTCCCTAATAGGTGTTTCTGCTTCTATCTTTGTCCCCCTGTGCCGCCTCTCAAAACCAGGCATCTAAAGTGATCCTGATCTCATATAAAAGGAGTCAGGTATTCTGTGCTTCTGTTCAAAACCTTCTAAAAGCATCCTACCTCATTCAGTAAAGCCCCACGGTTCTACAACCAGCCCAGTCCTACAAGATCTGGGTCCCAGCTCACCTTCCTTTTCCCCATTCCCCAGTTCCAGCCACAAGGCCCTCTCTATTGTTACACAAGCCTACCGGGCAGATTTCAGGCTATTCTCTTACCATACAGCTCTCCTTCCCTGCCTTCAACGTGTTTCTAAACGGTTGTTATCTCAAGGTCTCCCCTCAAGGCCATCGAGCTGATTCTGAATCATAGTGCTAACCTTAGAGGCCAGAATAGCAGGGCTGCATAGGGTTTCCAAGACTGTCCTCTTACTCCCGCCGAGCAGTTGGTGGACTGAATGGCTGCTTTGTGGGATCAGCCCAATGCTTAACCCACTATGCCACCAGGGCTCCTTAGACCTCCACTGGCTGGTCCCCCTGCACCCTCTTCTCCAACTTCTACACCATCATTACCAACTGTTTGCCCTTGGCATCATTTAATGTACTCTGTATTACTTGTTATTGTATTAGGTGACTTAAGGATAGGGTTTTATCTGTACACTTTATCACCATAGATGTATATACACGAGATGGCTTCAAAAAGTTAATGGGAAAATAGACTAGAAAATTAACAAGAAAGATAATGGCAGCTTGCTTTGGTAGCACGTATACTAAAATTGGTACAATGCAGAGAAGCTTAGCAGGGCCCCTGAGCAAGGATGACACGCAAATTTGTAAAAGGTTCCATATTTTTCTTGTAGGTGTCTCTAAACCCCTTCTTTTCTATGCACTTTTATTTAAGAGGGGGGTCCCAGGTGGGAACTTCCTCACAATAAAATCAGTCAGTGTGTGTGGGTGGGGGGCTAGGTGAAGTAAGGATAATGGAATTTTCCCACGAACTTTTTGGAGTCCCTTGTACAGATAGTTCAGGGCCCACCACACAGTAGACTTGTAGTGATACTGTTGAGTGAAAGAGAACTGGCATCTACCCAGAGGCTGAAATGAAAAGCCCTCTTCGGTCTTTATTGCATTTTCTTCTCACCCCCACATCTACTCCACCAGGAAGTCCTATTAGTTGTATCTCCCATAGAGCTAATTTCAATCTGTCCACTTCGACGGGTACTACCATCTGTTGCCTGGATTATGCTGACAGCCATTGTTTTAATGACCATGCTTCCAGTCTTGCTCCCCCACAATCCTTTCTATATATAGTCCCAAAGTACATTTGAAAGACTACAAATCAGACGGTGTGACATCTCTATGAAAACTCCCTACTGGCTGCTGGGTGCACTCAAGAGCAAATCCAAACTCCTCTAGGATCTGGCCCTACCAGCACTCTGGCATCATCACACACTGATCACGCCCATGCTTGCTGAGCATTAGCTACACTGGCTGCCCCTGTTCCTTGTCCCCCAGATCGCCTGTGTCTTAGTCCCTGTTGAGAATGCGCTTCACCTGTCGGATTCCATACTATCATCACGGAGAAGTGTTTCTGGTGATTAGGACTGAACTCAGTAGTCCATATTCCCCTCCCACTTCCCCCACTCCCTTAGTCAACTGTCACTAGAACCTAAACCCCAAAGCATACAGCTCTGATATTTGTCTTCTTGTTTATCACTATATGCCGTTTCTATAATTATACTAACATTATGAGTGCTATATGCATATACATTTGTATTTCTATTTGTTTAGTGAATGAGCAATCATCTAAGGACATTTTTAATATATTAAAATAGACACAAAGACTCAGTGATTAACATGCCTAGGTTATATTATTATTGAATAGAGGAGCTAAGAATAAGGGCCTCTCAACTTATTATTTTATTTGTCTGTGGTTTTACAGTGCCTTAACAATCTTATAACCTTGCCTCAACTCACTCACAGGCATTGTGTCAATTCTGACCCACAGCCCACAGCCACCCTACAGGGCAGGGTCCAATTGTCCTCGTAGGTTTCCATGACTAATTCTTTATGGGAGAAGAAAGCATCATTTTTCTCTGGAAAGCCTCGCCAAATATTGCTTATAATTTTGTATTTTTTCCCTACTCATATCCATGGCTGGAGGCCTAAACCACTGTGACTCTTATTTGCTAAAAAGCATTTACAGAAAAATGCCCAAATGAAAGGGGGAAGTGAAAAGGTGATAGTGTCAGTCACTGGAGAAATCCCAACCCAGGGAGGGAGGGTTATAAACAATTGCAGCAGGAGCTTGGGAGAGATGTCTCTCTCAAGTGTACAAACGGGGATGTGGAAGAAGCACCTATCAGATTTATAGTCCGAAGCCTTCATCTCTCACTTCTCCGCTCAAACACGCTTAGTGAGCTTTCTCGATCTGAATAAATTGCCTCACAACTAGAACCTAATCTCATCTTTCAACCTCACCATTTGCCCACCCAAATTCTAGCACAGAGGCAAAGAGTTTGAATCCGGCTTAATTAAATAGGGTCGGAGTCCATGTCTTCCATCTGACATGGCCCCCTCCCCGGCAGCGGAGCAGAGCATGTTTCAGCATGCTGCCCCAAACCCCGCGGCCTCCCCAAGGCAGGAGTTTCTGAACAGAGAGGAAACGGTGCAGAAAACTAGAGGTTGAACGCGAGCCATTTAACCCTATCCCGCGGTGAAGTAGAAGAGAAGCCCTAAAAGAGTGGATCTTTCCCGGTGGCAGCGTTGGTGTAGGGTCTGCCGAAACTCGAGAGGAGCTCTGGTGGTGCAGTGGTTAAGCGCTTGGCTTGCTCCCCAGGAGGCTGAAGCACAGAACCCTTTGGTTGTACAAAGACCTGGCGATCGGGCACTGATGGAAGACCTCGGAGCCGATGCCGATTCAGAAGACGGGAGAACTGCCCCACGGCGTTCTCTAGGCTGTAATCGTGACCGGGGCAAAAGGCCGGGTCTGGTGTGCTGCCAGCCTTTCGGTTGGAGCCTAGGAAACCCAACGAGGCAGTTCTAGCGTCGCTGGGGTGCCCGGGTGGAAATCGACTCTCCAGTGTACACAACTCGGAAAAGCCGAAGAGGCCGAGCGTGCCCACCAGTGGAGGGGAACGAGCCTACGCCGCGTCGCTTCTCAATCCTTGTCTCCTCCCGAGACCCCCGGACTGAGGAGGAGGAGCGGCGGCGAGCCGGGACCCGCGCTCCGCTCTCCGTCTTCCCCGGCCGGAGTCGCGGCTACGCGCGCCCTCCCACCTCTTCGATGTAGGCCGGCGGGTCCCGCTTGATCAGGTTCTGCAACTGCGGGAGGTTGCTGGGCAGCTTGTTGTTGTTCCTGGCGGACATGGTGGCTCAGGAAATCCCCGCAGCGGGCAGCCCCTCAGCGTGTCTCGGCCGCGGCTTAGAATCGTGCTTCCGCGTGCCACCGGAAGTAGCACGCGGCCCGCTCGCTAGGCGGCGCCGTCTGGATCCCTAAGAGACTCCTACGGGAAGCTCGGAGGACCAAACTTACTCATTGCCGAAATGCTCCGCGTGGGCTCACGCGAGGTCTTTTTACTCTTCTCAGTTGCTGCTAGCTCTGCTTACGTTTCTAAAACTAGCTGAAGGTCACGGCTCTTTTTGTTGTTGCACGAGTATTAAACACCGCCAACGGAGTCCTTGCGATTCTTTACAGGCTATAAAGGCTTTGTATATCTTTATGTGAGCGGATAGCCTCATCTTTCTTCTGTGGAGGGGCTGGTGGGCTTGAACCGCAGACTTTGAGATTAGCAGTCCAAGGCTTACCTGATAGCTTATTTAATTATTCCAGCACCCTCAAGGAACAGGTGACGCTTATAGTCTATTTTAATGACTAAAACCTAAACTTCCCAAACTCAGAAGTCCTTGCCTATGAGTTGATGGAGACTCATAGGACAGAGTAGAAAGCCCCTTGGGGGTGGGGGGTGGGGGTGGGGTTGCATATGATCTAGATCAGTGGTTCTCAACCTTCCTAGTGTCGCGATTCTTTAATACAGTTCCTCATGTTGTGGTGATCCCCAACCATAAAATTATTTTCGTTACTACTTCATAACTGTAATTTTGCTACTGTTATGAATCATAATGTAAATATCTGATATGCAGGATATATTAGGCCACCCCTGTGAAAGGGTTGTTTGACCCCAAAAGGGGTCGACCCACAGGTTGAGAACCACTGACCTAGATAGTCTTATCCAGTTTTAGAGCTTTTGCGGGGGGGGGAAATACTGAAGGGCATAAGCCTTGCCCTTGATGGGAGCCTTGATGACGAGATAGTGGTTATGTTTGGCTGCTACCTCAAGGTCAGCAATTCAAAACCACCAGCTGCCCGGGGGAGATAGATGAGGCTTTACACTCTCATAAAGTTACAGTCTCGAAAACCAACAGAGGTAGTTCTCCCCTGCCCTATTGAATTAGAGTCAGCATCAACTCAATGGTAGAGAGTTTTTTTGTTTTTTTTTAAAGAAACTTTCTTTGTGGTTTTTACCTATTTTGTTCAGTATGGGGTTGGTTCTTCCATGTCTTTGTCCTCAGCTTCTTCCCTGTTGTATCCCACCCCCCACCCCAGCTTTGGCCATTCCTTCAACCTATCAGACTTTTTTCCAAACCTTTTTTCCTTCCTAAGGGCTTTTTTCTTTTTATGTAGGAATCCTTTCCACTGCTCCAGAAAAACTTGGGTTTCCAAATTTCATCAAATGGAATCGTAACTGTGAAATGTTCTGATTCCCAGGACAGGATTGGGTTTGCTTTGTTGCTTCCACCGCTTTCGTATACTTCTATTCATTTTAAGAATAACATCGGCTTTTTAGTTTTAGAACAAAATCTACTTTGCTTCATTTGAAAGGTTTACCACATGGCTCTTCCATTCAACTAAGTTCCCGGAAAGCAAATCCTAATGAGGTGTGGTCCAATGAAGAACGACTCAGAACTAACTTGAAGGTGAGCAGTTCTAACCCAGCAGCTCTGTTGGAGAACATCTGGCAATCTTCTTATGAAAATATTTCAGCCTAAGAAATCTTACGGGCTATTCTAGTCTGTCCTATGGGGTGGCTGCGAATCGGTGTGGGCTCAACAGCCCAGTGTGCAGCACGTAGTTTGTACTCAATAGAAGCACATGACTTAGCCTGAAGGTTTTATAACTTACAGTTATGTGATGGGAGATAAATATTTGTGTTATTTAAACTTTTGCTTTTGACACGAATAATAATGAAATAATTTAAGGATATGTTAAGTGTTCTTTTCCCCTTTACTGAACAAATCTGTCTGGAAAGAAGTACAGCCAGAAGGCTGTGATTAGTAGTGAGATGATGAGACTTACTCTCACATGCTTTGGACATGTTATCTATCAGTAGAGACCAGTCCCTGGAGAAAGACATCATACTTGGTAGAGTAGAAGGTCCGGGACAAAGAGGAAGACCCATAATGAAATGGATTAACAAGTTCTGGGACAATGAGTCCAAACATAACAATTGTGAGAATGGTTCAGGACCGTGTTTTGCTTTGTTGTTCATAGAGTACAGTAGAGTTCAATGGCACCTGCCAACGACAACAATAGAGTCTGAACAAAAAACTCCGACTCACTGCCATGGAGTCAGCACTGACTCACAGTGACCCTATGGGTTTCTGAGACTATAGCTCTTTATGGGAGTAGAAAGCCCAGCTTTTCTTCCAAGGAGCTGCTGGTGTTTTCGAACTGTTGACCTTGTAGATCACAGACCACCCTGTAATGCCACTACCACGGCTCCTCGATATAAGATATTATATATATTTTATAATATAATATGTATTATATTATATATCCTAAGATATACCTAATACTTATCATGGTCCTTCCAATCATAGTTCTCCATTTTGTGATATATTGCAAATTCTAGCTCCAACACCTGTGGTTATAACCTCATTTTGCTCCATGGAAGAAAGAAGAGGCTTTCTGCTCCCATCAAGATTTATAATCTCGGAAACCCACAGGGGCAATTCTCATCTGTCCCACAGTGTCACTATGAATGCAACATGTTGGAATTGGCTTGATGGCCATGAGTTTGTGTGTGTGTGTGTGTGTGTTTTCTGATAGGCTAATGAGATAGGATTTAGGTGGGATATATTTTGAGTTCCCACCTTACTAGAGGGTGTGGCTCCAGTCACCACCCTTTGTTTTCTTGAGGGTATGGTCTGCAAAAACCACACCTCTGTCATTCCATGAGATACTGCCGTGAATTGCAGAACCCTGGGACAGGAGGGAATAGACTTAGGGGAAGAGTGGTGGTTGAGATCAGGAACAATGGACAGGGATAGCATTTTGCAAAAGTCATACATTTAGGGCATCTTTAATCTTCACCTCACAGATACTATTGAATTTATCTTTCTAAAATTAATTTTACAGTTAATGTCAGAATGGTGGGATTTGTTGCAACAGCCGCAATCAGTGGAAAAGGTGGTTTGGGGAAAAAGGGAATAAATGGAAAAATTAGAAAACTTTGGTTTCTCGACAGGATTAAAAAAAAACACCCATGGAAAAATATCCCCTAAAGAAGAGTCATAACAAGAACAGACAAATGCACATCCATGTTCATTGTAGCAATGTTCACAGTAGCAGAAGATGGAGACAGCTGGAGTGGCCATCAGTAGAAGAACGGGTGGAGAAACTCTGGTCTATGCACACAATAGAAGACGACGCACACCTAAGGAACCAGAACCACCTCAGCCATGGATGGCTCTGGAGAACATTCTGTTGAGTGAAATTAGTCACCCACAAAAGGACACATATGATATGAGACCACTTATGTAAAGGAAACGTAAAAACACAAGACACTTTCACACCAAAGGAATAGACTTTGCAGATTGCCAAGGGTGGAGGGGAATGGGGAGGAAGGAAGGGTGGGTAGGGCAGATAAGAATAGGCTAGGTTGTTGACAAGTGTTAACGGGTGAAGCTGGAAGCTCGCAGCTCATAAGAGAGAGAAGTGACATCAAGGTGCAGGTGAAGGACAAACTATTGGGGGGGGGGAGTTGATGAATAGTTTAAGTTGTTGAATACATAGTTGATGATCTGAAATATAACCTCACTTAATGAGAATAAAAAAATTTTTAAAACAAAGATAGTGTGGTTGTACAACTTAAAGAATTCAATAAAAAAATTCAACCAATGTAACTGATTGTACATGTAGAACTTTTTGAGAGCTTTTGTAATGTATATTTGTACCACAATAAAATAAAAATTACAAAGACCACTGAAATGCGTTGGAACAAACAAACAAACCATGGATTAAAGCAGCTGTCACATTGCAATCAATTTCCCAAGGCAAAAGCTATTGATAGGATATGGAATTAGTATCCACTTCCCTCTGGATATTAATATGTTTAGATCATCAACTTTGTTAATTAATATATTCCAGATCGTCAGCACTTTAAACTACCCATCCGCCCCTGAAACGAGGAATTGGCTCAGTGGATGCATGTGGAAATATAGACTGAGAAGGAAGGGCAAGACATACAGTCCCTGGTTTCTGTTATCAGTGGTAGCTGCAACAGCAGGGGGAAAGAATGTAGGGGAGACTGCTGAAACCAAGGGGTATAGTGTAAAGGGGTTGCTTCGGTTTGTAGATCGATATCATCAACTTCCTGATGAACGATGACAAAAATGGATTCTGAGAGTAACGCATTTGGGGTGCCCCGTTTTGATGCCTTCAGAATGGAAAAGTCTGTTAGGGTTAATGCAAGACTGCCGCACGCCACGAACAATCACAAAGGATAAAATTAGATCCTGTGATGAGGAAGGTTGAGCCTGAGGGGACAGCCAGCCTGGTGAACTGGACAAAATTTGCAGTGAGACTTGTTTACCCTAATAAGGGACATTGCGCCCTCCCTCTTGAAATGCTCAATGGAACACCCCAGAGGAAACAGCTACTGTACTGTTCATGGATGCTGGACGGGTTCCATGGCGATCAGGTAGTGATCCAATGAGTATGACTGCCCCGGACACAGGTCATGACAGACAGGTTATCAAGGGAACCCCTTCTCCATGGGCAGACTGCCATGAAACAAAGCAGCAATCCAAGAAACTGTTGGATTTGTGGACACAGCTTTTCTGTATGTTTTTAAAAAAAATAGTTTTATTGGCATATACTTCACATAGAGCATAATTTAATCATTTTAAGGCGATTTGTGCAAGCATCACCACAATCAGTATTAGGACACTTTCCTCTCATACACAGTGTTGGTTAACTCCCCATCCCACTGCCCCACCCTCCACATGAACCCCAGTCATGCCTCTAGGCAATTATTGATCCAGTTACTCTCTCTAGCTCTACCTCTCCTGGGTTTCATATACCAAAAATCCATAAAAAACAAACGAACAAAACCCAATAACAATGACTAGA